GAGTATAAACCTTGGAGTTTATGACAGCCTAATAATCATTAACCTGTAAACTAGAGAATCTGAATTAGGAACAATTTCTAGTATCTGAATGACCTAGTTTAATCAGCATTATTCTTCCCTGTCAACAGACCACTGTGACCACTTTTTAATTATCTTCAGCAAGATTTTATTTCTGGTTGATATTAATGATATTGTTAGAAATTTCTACATTTTGTTAGGTCACCTTTCTTTGGAATGGGAACAAATATGGATCTTGTCCAGTCAGTTAGCCAGGTTATCTGTCTTCCAAGTTTCTTGGCATAGACAAGTAAGCACCTCCAGCACCGTATCCATTTGTTGAAACATCTCAGTGAGTATTCTATCAGTTCCTGGAGCCTTTTCACTAATTCCTTCAGGATGGCTTGGACTTCATTCAATATCATTGGTTCTTGATCACATGTCACCTCCTGAAATAGATTAATATTGATCAATTCTTTTTGGTAACAATGTCTTTGTGTATTCCTTCCATATTCTTCTGATGCTTTCTGCATTATTCAGTATTTTGTCCACAGAATCCTTCAAAATTACAACTCGAGGCTTGAATTTTTTTCTTCAGTTCTTTCAGCTTGAGAAATGCTGAGTGTATTCTTCTCTTCTGGTTTTCAAACTCCAAGTCTTTGCAAATTTCATTATAATAATTGACTTTGTCTTCTCAAGTTACTCTTGGAAATCTTCTGTTCAGCTCTTTTATGTCATCATTTGTTCCATTTACTTTAGCTACTCTCCCATTCAAGAGCAAGTTTCAGAGTCTCTTCTAACATCCATTTTGGTCTTTTCTTCCTTTTCTGTCTTTTTAATGATTGTTTGCTGTCTTCATATATATATTCCTGATCTCATCTCACAACTCATCTGGTTTTCAGTCACTGGTGTTCAATATACCAAATCTGTTCTTCAGATGGTCTCTAAATTCAGGTGGGATATAGTCAGGTTCATATTTTGGCTCTAGTGGACTTGTTTCAATTTTCTTCAGCTTCAACTTGAACTTACATATAAGTAATTGATGGTCTGTTCCACAGTCTGCTCCTGGCCTTGTTTTGATAGATGATACTGAGCTTCTCCATTGCCTCTTTATTCAGATATAGTCAATGTGATTTCTGTGTATTCCAATCTGGTGAGATCCACATGTATAGCCACCATTTATGCTGTTGAAAAAAGGTATTTGCAATGAGTAAGTTGTTGGTCTTATGAAATTCTATCATGCCATTTCTGGTGTCATTTCTAGCATCAAGGCCATGTTTTCCAATTACTGATGACTCTTCTTTGTTTCTAACTTTTGCATTCCAATCACTAGTAATCATCAATACATCTTGACTGCATGTTTGCTCAATTTCAGAAAGCAGAAGTTGATAAAAATCTCCAATTTCTTCACCTTTGGCTTTAGTGATTGGTGTGCAAATTTGGATAATTTAACAGTCATATTAATTGGTCTTCCTTGTAGATGTATGGATATTATCCTATCACTGACAGCACTGTACTTCAGGATAAATCTTGAGACATTCTTTGTGACGATTCATGCGATGCCATTCCTCTTCAATTTGTCATTCCCGGCATAGCAGACCGTATGATTTAACAACAATGGCACCCACCAACGGCATCTAACAATAGTCCATTTGGGCTCACTAATGCCTAGGATACAGATCTTTACGTGTTCCATTTCATTTTTGACAACTTCCAATTTTCCTAGATTTGTACTTTGTACATTCAATGTTTCAACTATTAATGGATGTTTGCTTCTATTTCTTCCCATTTAGAGTCACGCTCCATCAGCAAATGGAGGTCCTGAAAGTTTACTTAATGCACGTCATTAAGGTCTACTATCCTTTGTGGAGGTAGCTCTACCCAGTTGTATTCTGGGCGCCTTTCAACCTGAGGGGCTCATCTTCCAGCACTATATCAGACAATGTTTCAGGGCTATTCATAAAGTTTTCCAGTAATACATGAGACAGTGTTTCATTACTATTCCCAAGGTTTTCAAGGTCGGTTTTTTGAGAAGTGGATGGCCCCTTCCTTCTTCCTAGTCTGTTTTAGTCTGGAAGCTCCAATGAAACCTGTCCACCATGGGTGAGCCTGCTGGTATATGAAATACTGGTGGCATAGCCTCCAGCCTCACAAAAACACACAAGCCACCACAGTACAACAAACTGCTAGGTGAGTGGTGGACTCTTATGCTAGAGTATCATAAATATGCTGAAATAAATCAGACTACATAGACTTAATACTATCTCTAGGCCTTCTGCATTGTCAAATAAGCTTTTCATTAATTTTTTCAGAATGTCTATAAAATAAGACTGTTTCCTTTTTATTTAAGAAAAAAAAAACAGAAGAGTATAACATGTTTTCAATGATTATTATATGCCAGGTTCCATGTATCAGACATCTTACATAATCTTCATTGCCACCCTGTATTTTTTAACCAAATAACAAAATTCACTACATCTTATATTCTAGTATACTTCCTAAAATGATAAAAATAATTATTGTTGTGCTAAAAGCAGCATAATGAGTACACTACAATAAGTTAGACTATAGACAAACACTATGTATAGGCTCTTTTATTTTCAAACAGCTTTACAATGATTTTCCCAGGATGAGTATGAAAAAAATCAATGTTTCTATGTTATCCATAAAGAAAATATTTTGGCCAGAGCTAGCATCTAAAATAGTATGTCTGTAGCATGATCAGATCATCTGCTATGACTTATTTACCATCCAAATTGGACTGCCATATCATTTCAATCTATTGGCAGCAAATGATTTTTAAATCAAACCAATTTTTTTTTCCCCTCCAGAGGTTACATAATAATCCATTTGACACCATTATATGAAGGTTACCCCTCAGAAAAGTAGACTTACTTAAGGTCATTAAGTTACTTGACCACTAGCTTCTAAAAACTCAGAACTCATATTTGACATAGCTAATAGGAGCTCTGGTAGCATAGTGGCTAAAGCACTTGACTGCTAACCAGAAGCCTGGCGGTTCAAACCCACCAGCCACTCCTCGGAAGGAAGGTTGGGCAATCCTACTTCTGTAGTGATACTGCCTCGGAAACCCAAGGAGGGGTCGCTATGAGTCGGGGCCTACTCGACGGCACATAACAACAACAACAACAATAGAAACTCAATATCCAAATCTCTTTCTAAAATTAAATAACCATAGCTTACATTTACTGACTGCATACTCTATGTCAGACACTGTCTTATAGTTTTATACATACTAGTTCACTCAATCCTCTTAATAAGCCTTTGAGATAGATACTACAATCTCTATTTCATAAACAAGGAAAGTGAAATGCACAGACTTTAAGTAATTTGCCCAAGGTTACAAAGTTAGGAAGTGAGAGAAGTAGGAATATAAACCCAGGTAGTCTGTGCCCATTTTGTGTTACTGCCTCATGAGATGGTGGCATAGTGTCTAAGGCATTTGACTGCTAACAGGAAGGTTGGTATTCAAACCCACCAGCCACTCTGTGGAAGAAGACAGAGCAATCTACTTCCGCAAAGATTTACGGTAAAGATTTGGGTTTCCAAGGCAGTAAATCTTTATAGAAATAGATAGCCCAGTCTTCTTTCCATGGAGTTGCTGGTGGGTTTGAACCACCCACCTTCTGGGTAGCAGTCAAATGCCTTAGGCACTAGGCCATCAGAGCTCTTTATATAAACAATACTTGCTATATAAACAATAACACACACACACACACACACACACACGGAACTCTGGTGGCATAGTGCCTAAGGTATTTGACTGCTAACCAGAAGGTTGGTAGTTCAAACCTACCAGCTACTCCACAGAAGGAAGACTGGGTAATCAACTTCCGTAAAGATTTACCACCTCGGAAATCCAAAGGGGGTTGCTATGAGTCGGAATCAACTTGATGCCAGTGAATTTGGTTTGGTTTTTATAGAATGAAGAAGCACTATTATTTAAAAAGGTATAAACATTGTGAAACTTCTATTCTAAATAGATGGAAGAGTCTAAACACACCATTTTCTCTTTTTCCTTTTGAATTGTTATAACCATAACCAAACCTCCCTCTGTTTAGCTCCAACCAGCCACAGAAGTAGCAGTCAATATATCCTTTGTGAATGACTTAATGTCTTTCTTCTGTATACTCATAACCAATCAATACTAGTCAATTTATTGACATTATGGATATATTGATAATTCTAGGAAAAATCTGATAAAGTGACTCAGGATTACGTACTTTTAGACATAAACATTTTTAAAATTTCTTCCCCGAAAAAAAATTAAAAAGATTAAAGTTAATTTAATAGAGACATTAGTTTCGCATCTAACCACCTGGTCTAATTGGCAAGGCATATCGTGAGATCATATTAAAGTCAATACAACTTATGAACTATAGTAAATATTCTAAGAAGTTGTAGAAATGTACATTGGAGAGGAAAACATCTAAATCAGCTTTTAAAAACAGGTAAGAACTACACAAATCATCATTTCAAACAAAAATATTACTGATGTACCTTTGCTGAACTATCAAGCTCTTATTATCCAAAAATTACAATGTTTCCATCTGTTAATCTGACATGAACAAGATGATAAATGAAATCAGAAAAACAGTGTTATTTTGGCAAAACTAGAAACTTCCTGAAAGCCTAGAAAAAAATATGTCCACAACAGATGGATCATTTAGAAAATAAATACATCAATCTGTCAAACTGAATACTATTCTAATTCTCAAACCTACAAGCAGTAGAAGCTCCATTTTCCAAGAGTCTGTGACAGGAAGGCCAAAAAGGAAAACCCTAAAGATGCACATACATATCTATATGACCCACAATGTCATACTGCTATGTTTCCTGTTAAACATACTAAATTTAGGTAAAGTCCTTACCAGTTAACTTCTTCACAGGTTGGAGCCGAACACTGATAGACTGATGTGTGAGTAAGGGGGAGGATGGAAGAGAGCGAGACATGCCCTCCATAATCCGAATGTGCTGCATACCTTCACTCACTGGAAGTGGTGGGACGACGTAGTCTGGCTCAAAAGCACAGTCGCTTTCTGTGGAGATGCCACCTGTTAGATAAAAAAAGAAAGACAGAAGACCAGAGTGAGAAAAGTCTTCCTTCCCTATTAAAATTTATCTTTTAGGGTAATTCAGAATGGCACATACTGATACTGACTGTCATTGTGAAAAACCAAATAAGGTATTTTTACATGTATAATCATTTCTATACTACTGTGTACTTTACTCCAGGTCTAACAGTAGGACGTTGAAGATGGGCAAAATAGGTTTCTCATTTGTAAAGGGCTCACTGTCTAATGAAATAACTGTAGCACAATGCAATAAATGTTACAATTATAGTCATGGTTTTCACCCACTCCCCATAGGACAAGGGTAAAAGAAGATATTTACTTGCTTGACACACCATCATGTGCAATTTCTAGTCAGATCACTGAACTCTATTCCTCACCACCCCTAAGAAATATGTTAAATGCAAGTAGGTGAGACTCCCGTTACTGTATGGTGATTCTTATTTATTTATTTATTTAAATTTTGATTTGGGTGAAGATTTACAGAGCAAATTCACTTTCCATACAGCAGTTCACATATACTTTGTCTCATGTCATTGACCACAGTTTACCACAATGC